ATATATATACATCTCTAGCACACTGTATTACAGTACAACGCCGCCTACGCCCACCTTCACGTTTACTGGCTCTTCTACACTACCAACGATAACCGATACACAACGTTCACGTACATTTGGTTTTATATATATATACGCTCTGTTGAGTATCTCCGCCATTTCAAGTGTACTTGTATTTATGCATCAAGCCCTAACGTACTTGCAACCCTCATGTCACGTACTTCCTTTTATACCCACAACACACTACAGCTAAAGTACTTACAACTATCATGTCATATATGTCTGTTTATACCCCCAACACACTACAGCTAAAGCACTTGCAACCCTCATGTCATGTATTTCTGTTTATACCCCCAACACACTACAGCTAAAGTACTTACACCTATCATGTCGAGTATTTCTATTTATACCCCCAGTTCATTACAGCTAAAGCACTTACAACCCTCATGTCATATATTTCTGTTTATACCCCCAACTCATTACAGCCCCCACTACGTCCACGTTCACGTTCACGGGGTCATCTAAACTGCCTCCGATAGCTGGCACGCCACAAGACTACGACGCCATGTCAGTGGACACCCCCGCCGCCACTCCTGCACGGACCAAATACGGCATCAGGTCAGAGGGGATAGTGGTAGGTGGCATGTGTGTGTTGCAGTATGTACCTATGCATGGGTGCTTGTGCATGTATGTGTATAAGGGTATGTACCCATGCGTGTGTGCTTGTGTATGCTGTGTAGCAGGGTATGGACCTATGCATGTGTGCTTGTGTATGTATGTGTATAAGAGTATGTGTATTATGTGATATGTGTTGGGACCGACATCCTTGCAAGTGTTACATACGGCATGAGGTAAGAGGGGATAGTGGTAGGTGGCATGTGTGTGTTGCAGTATGTACCTATGCATGGGTGCTTTTGTATGTATGCGTACAATGGTATGTACCTATGCATGTGTCCTTGTGTATGTATGTGTGGCAGGGTATGTACCTATGCATGTGTGCTTGTGTATGTATGTGTATAAGGGTATGTGTCCTATGTGATATGTGTTGGGACCGACATCCTTGCAAGTGTTACATACGGCACGAGGGCAGAGGGGATAGTGCAAGGTCTATGTACGGCACAAAATCAGTTGGCAATGAGGTACAGGACTATTATGTATTCAAGTGTGTGTGTATGTGTGTGTGAGTATAATATTATACAAGGTATGTATGTGAATGTAGTTGTGTGGTGTGTGTATGTATGTATGAGTATGATTTTATACAAGATATGTATGTGAATGTATGTTGTGTGTGTGAATGTAGTTATGTGGTGTGTCTATGTGTGTATGAGTATAATTTTGTGCAAGGTATGTATGTGAATGTATGTCGTGCGTGGGAATGTAGTTATGTGGTGTGTCTATGTGGATGTAGGCATGTAGCTGTATTGGAGTGTGCGTGTATGTGTATATGAGTATATTAGTGTCAATAAGTATGTGGTTATAGGCATGTACTTCTATTGAAGTGTGTATGTATGTGTATATGAGTACGTATCTCTATTTAGCTTTTGCTTGTACCTTTGTGCTGTGTTATGGCGCCCACCACCCCTGACGAATGTTGACTTGTTATCCGTGATGTAGGTGCAAGTTTAGTGTATCTATGCGATCCATCTACCCTAAACCTTATAACCCTAAAACCCTAACCTTCAAACATCGGGTTTCAGACCCTTTACCTCGACTTCCTGACAGTTCACCTTAGTCACATGATCCGTATATGTGATCTCTAGATATTCTTACACTCATCTCTACCACCCTACCTCCGACTGATAGTACGTTTATCCAAAAAAATACATAATCTATTTATAGACATACTATCTAATCTCTATCTAACCCTGCACTCACCGGTGCGTCCCTACCTCTCTCTAATAGTACGTTTATCCACACAAATACACAGTCTTTTTATCGCCTGCCTATCTTACGTGCTTTCTCCTCATTTCCCTATCCGCTCAGCATCCCACCCGCCAAGGCTCTATCAAGAAACTCAACCCCGCAGTCTTCAAATTCGGGCCTTCATCGGCCATGAAAGACAATCAAGCCTACGACAGTAATGTATGTGGCAGCTCACATCGTGTAGCTGTACCGATAGTATTGTATGTACATATATATATATATCCACAGTATTGTATGTAGATATATTTATAGCCACAGTGGTATATGTGGATATAACTATATTCACAAGGATGTTTATACATATATCAATATCCACAGTATTGTATATTGATATATTAATAGCCACAGTGGTGTATGGACATATATCTATATTCAAAGAGATGTCTATACATATATCTATATCCACAGTATTGTATATTGATATATTAATAGCCACAGTGGTGTATGGACATATATCTATATTCAAAGAGATGTCTATACATATATCTATATCCACAGTATTGTATTTAGGTATATTTGTAGCCACAGTGGTGTATGGACCTATATTCATATTCACAGGAATGTCTATGCATATATCTATATCCACAGTATTGTATGTAGATATATTAATAGCCACAGTGATGTATGGACATATATCTATATTCAAAGAGATGTCTATACATATATCTATATCCACAGTATTGTATTTAGGTATATTTGTAGCCAGTGGTGTATGGACCTATATTCTTATTCACAGGGATGTCTATGCATATATCTATATCCACAGTATTGTATGTAGATATATTTATAGCCACAGTGGTGTATGGACCTATATTCATATTCACAGGGATGTCTATGCATATATCTATATCCACAGTATTGTATGTAGATATGTTTATAGCCACAGTGGTGTATGGACCTATATCTATGTTTTACTCAAGTGTTACGAGTACTCACACACTGACGTACATCAGCGCGCATAATCTATCTCTTTAGTACGATTGTAATTTGAACTCTCGAAGTGCGGTTTTTATCGGGTTAAAAGTTCTCCTCGAGATAGGAAACTTACATATATACAATATACTAATCCTGATTTACAAATCTCCACTATACTAATCCTATTTTGGATATGAAACTTGTGCTCGAGAGAAATCAGGCGTATTGTGTTTATAACTAAGCCAAAATTCCTTCGAATGCAACACCACTATACCCATACAGAAATATAGCAGCGGCCGTGATTTCACATCTAAGAAAGTGTCAACCCCAGCCGTCACCAATACAAACTGGAGGTCCATTACACAACCCAGCACAGCCACAAACACATCTACGTCCTACCAACCGTACCCCTTTCTGAATGGGAAACTGTCCGGTATGTTAGTGCTAATGATGTATCTGATGTGTTGAAATAAGACTTTGTGTTGTATAATAGTACATTACATGATGTAATGTACTATGAATGTATCCTGAGGCTCTGTGACAATCATCTAGAGGGATATATATATATGTATATATATATATATATAGATATATATATATATATATATATATATATATATATATATATATATATCACTACTAACCTACCTACCTACCACCTAACCTACCTACTACTACT